ACACACACACACACACACACACACACACACACACACACACACACACACACACACACAGCCTTTTCCGCTTGCTTCTCCTTTTGTTGCCTTCAATATCCTGATCGCCACTTATCCACCCCTCTTTCGTACAGTCTCCTTACTCTTCCTGTATTTCTTGCTCTACCATCCTCCTTCTACTACATTCATCGGTGCAATAAGGTGTGCTGAATTGATTCTAACAATAAAATAGAAATGAGGCCAACACACACACGCACACACATATTGTCAGGTGTCTGTGTGTACTGCCAAACATTTGAAATCCACAGAAGCATGCAGAGACAGACCAACGGAGATTCAAGGGAAGTGATTTGACCGGAGCTAGTTTCAAAAAAGAAGAAGAAAAAAAGGAATTGCAGTCTCATTAGTGTGTGTGTGTGTGTGTGTGTGTGTGTGTGTGTGTGTGTGTGTGTGTGTGTTTTATGTGTTGACCTACCTGTGGGTCCATGGCTGTCCTTGCTGGAAAAGTTACCCATACTGCAGTAATGGGGTTTGGGCCGCTGATGGGGGCCCTGCAGGTGCTTGTTGCTCTTTCACTCAGCTCAGACCAAAGTGACCTACACGCACACGCACACGCACACACACACACACAGGACATCCAGAAAGAGTCATGCACTTCCAGTAGGCAGTATGTTATCCAGCTGAGACATAATTCAGTGAGCTCAGCTGTGTAGTGAACTAACCTCCGTGCCTTTAAATGTCATGACGCACTGGTGGAGTCTACAGGGAACATGTGACGACCGAAGCGCAAACGTGAACACAGACCTCATTGGAAACTGAAATTCGCGCCATCGAAACAACACAACTAATAACTTTTATTTGCAAAAACATTTGATTAAAAACAACTAAAAGAAAAAGACCAATCATTTTTCATTCTCAGGCCATTGACTTTAACGCGCTGTCGACGCTTTTACACAAACAGCCCGCATTATGCGCATCCAAGAGTTTGAAACCGTGTTTTCGAAAAGTAACTTCAATTTATCGCCCGCTACGTTAAAACCGATTGACCTTTTTAGTTTTAAAGAGCAATGAAAGGCGCATACAAACCCCTTGAAAGCGGCAAAAAAAAAAACTCCCAAGTCCTTTTTGTTCGCAGTTTGGTGAACTCTTCCTCTCCGCCGCTTTGACTCCTCTCAGCGCTGCTCAGCCGAGTCCTCGCGGAGGAGAGGGAGCGGCAGACAGACCCTCAGAGCACCGGTTAATCCCCGCGACCTGTGGCCGCTGGAAACGTGTCAATACGAAGACCACGCATGATCTAAATCCGCACATCGAACAAAAGAGCGGATAAAAAAACAACAACAAAACTCCATGGCACAAAAACACACCGGTGACAGATGGCGCCGATAGCCGCACGGTGTGTCCGCTGGAGGGCACCGTTAGACCGCGCTAGCAGCAACTTGTTGCCTCCGGGGTGTTGGGTGGCCCCTCCTCGCTCACCTCTCGGCCTCATATGAAGCTGACCTTACAGGCCGGTTACAGGCCTACTGTAGCAGACGGATCCAGTCCGCACAGTTTTATTGGACCTTTTCTATTAAGAACCGCTTTAGATGTGTTTAAACTCCCCCTTTTAATGTGTTTGGCCTCTAAATAAATGAAATCGCTTTTCTGATGACTCTTTATTAGTGCAGAAATTTTTTGATTTGCATGAATCTGAACCATAACATTTTATATAATGGACACAAAAATGTAATAGAAGCGATTTCCACAGTAGCCTTGGCCTGCTGTGGCTCTGCTACTTTACAGGTTTAAGTGGTTTAAGTCGTGACTTGCTAATTTAATTCAATGTTACTCATTATACACCGCAAATAATACATTCACTAAAATACTAAATAAATTCTCTCCAAAGGCTTGTATATGTTTTTAAAAAACTGAAAGATTCAGATTTTGTCATATTATGTTTGGGGCCAAATCATTTCAATTTAGATACGAAGAACCATGTCTGTGAATTGTGACTAACTTTTGATTATGCGTCGTATAATAGTCGTATAATAGCTATTGCTATGCTATTATACGACTTAACAATCTTAACACTTACATTGTCTCATTTTTCTTGTAATGAAAAATGTAATGTCTTGGCTTATTGTGTCAAATCTGTAAGGATGACATAGAGGCCATTGAATCGTGACTTCATTGCAGGGGACAATATTAAGAAATCTGGTTGGTGCAAGATACATGTTCGCAAATAAAATGTGTAAATAAACAATGGCACATATTTGTATATTGTCTACTTGATGAAGTCTGAAGCATCAATATCAGTGTCCACAACTGCTCTTTGGATAAACCGCCCCTTTATAATAATGTGAATGTGGATCTCAAGACATGGATTCAGAAAAGCTTTACCCTATAACGAGGATGACCCATCAAGTGAAACCTTTCTCCTGCATCTAAGGTCTAAAATTTACACAACTGAATGATTCAACAAGTTGTAAAATCAGCGTCTAACCTCATTAAGCCTAATTACAGCAAAACAGCATGAATTTCTCACTTTGACTAAAAACACATTTATTTGTCGGTACAAAAAGCACAACTTCGTCGCACAGCACAGTACAAACACCACCAGACCCACAGGTGTGACTAAGTGCAACAGTAGAGCATCATGTTTGCCAAATGCTTTTATTTTGTAAATCTCTTCCAACATCTTTTCATTAAATATTCATTGTATTGCTAACAGAACAAATCTCTCCGTTAATGGGCACAGCCGACGTCGAGTTTGTAGACCTTTACAGATTAAAATGAACGAGCACTGATGTGTGACACCCACACAACAAGCTAACAGGTTTAATACTGTGCCTCCAAACATTCCCTGTGTTTTATGCTAACACCAAACGTCTTCTCAGATAATCATTTGTTTTTTTTGTCAGCGCACTTGTCTTGGCAGTTCCCCCTCACAAACTGTACGGTGCTGATTGAAACAGGAAGTTTGCTGCAGTGAGGAGGCAAGCTCTCTCTCTCTCTCCCTCGCCTCTCTGATTGAGATCAATAGGTTTCCACAGTGCTCTGTGCTCACTGTGCACCACTGCAGTAAAGAGAGAGAATCCATCAAAAGCAGCAAGGTGCATTACACAACCTCCAGCCCCCCGCCCACGTTGAGTTAACGCTCATGGAAGTGCAATACCTGAAAATGACTGTAAAAGGCAGTTTCTCGCCAGCGTGACGGATACTTTAAGACTCTGATTTTAGAATATAGCATCATACATGTGTCCGATTGTGTACATTTTAATTTAATGTATTTTTTTTTCTCGTTTCATATAGTGACAGAATATCCTGTTGTAAAGCTGTCGGAACCCCATTATGAAATACTTAATGGGTGTCGGTCTCTGTCCGGAGCAAGGCGACCTATTGTTTGTTCAGTGTCTGATGCCAGTTGGAGCCATTAGCCTCCTTTGCTGAGTGGATTACGACTATTTTGTTGGTGACCTGCTGCGCTAGCCTTCTGGAGGGGCCGCTACTTGGGCTCTAAAAACTCCCAACAACTGGCCGCTGGTCCAATTTGGCAGACGGACAAGGATGGCTCTTAAACAATGAAAAACGGATTACAAGGTCTGGCTGGCCGCTTAATTGATGAAAAATGCAACTTTCTCACCACCCTCCTTTTTCACAGCTTTCCATTATACTTAGATACTTCCTCCTCCTGTCTCCCCTGCTCGCGGAGTAATAAAACTCCCCCTTTTATGGCTTGGTGCCATCACACTTTGAGATGCGAAACACAAAACTAACTGCATTCAGTAGTTTTTTTTAAATATTCTTAGTCAAATGACGAGGCTGTACACATAAAGACAGTATCACCCTGTGCTATCCATAAGGCACAGCACGCATTCTCAACCACACTCGGTGTCTCGCCAAATCTCAAGTCCCTTTTCACTGCTACATTTTTTTGGTGTAAATATAAATGGAAACACCAATCCCATAATGAATAAATCCATGTATGGCAGTGGGCCGAATGGTGGACACTGCAGGGGGAATGGTACAAAGTTGGGATGCACAGGGACTGTCTGCCTCTCACGGGTCCTTGTCTCTAATACCAGATTAGGTGAAGTAATATGTGTGCCAGGGATTGATTTTCCACCTGGGTTAATCCCCCCTCTAGAGGACAACGGTTTATCCAGGAGGAATGGCCATTCTGCCTTACCTGCCTGCCACCCGCGGTGTCCCAGCGAGGTAAATTAGGAGTCATAAACCAGTATTTCTGTGTTGTTTACGTTAGGTTTTCATATCAAATGTACCTCATTTTATTCTATCAAAAGAAGTACTTTCAGTCTACAAAACTGCTCCGCCACTCTCTGCTCTCTCTCGCACCACTTTGACCAATCCCTTGGAGGATTTAACTTTCACTGGACACAGGAAGCAGCGGTCATCGATTCAGCCACAAAGCCAACCCGTGTCTTCCCTCCGCCGTCTCTTGATTGACAGCCAGTGCCAGACCACGCCAGCAAAACACCACGGCTTGTTGATGGACGGCACCTGCTTCTCCTCAGAGGAAATCAATTGAAGTCATGGGCTTCAATTGATGGGGGAGGGGGGGGTGCTCAAGCACTTACACATGGCTGGGGAGGGAGGATGACAGGGAGAGAGAGAGAGAGTTGCCAACCATCTGTGTACAGAGGAGCACTGCCAAGCGCCAGTCCCTTTTTATACGCCAGTGCCACAAAAACACACACAATGCCTCCAAATGAAACATGTTGGCTCCTTTAAGCCACATTCAGCCCCAGTATTTGGTATTGCTTAATCAAATCATTCAAATTGCTTTGTTCCCTCTCGGTGCATTACAGACTCTAATATTAGTGAGTAATTGATACCATCCGATATCTTTACAACTATTTTTACATGCGTTGCACAGAATTCATTATTACTATACGACATCGAACGGTTGAGGTCAAATATCCACACTTACGCAGCTTCAGAGAGCACATGGGCCACACATGGGGCCATCATAGCTACAATCTTAGTCGTGCACAAGTGTAGTTACTGGAGCTCAACCTAAGACGTTGGACAATCTACGTATATCCATCCTATCGTCGAAAGGTTGTTATTTCACGGGAACTCTCTGGCCCACAAAGGATGGGGGTGGGATCTCCTGGCAGGCACTGCCCCGGCGGTTGAAATCCAGGAAGGGGGTCCTTTGGGCTGCTGTGCCCACCATGCTGGCGTCCGTGTGCGTGCCGACCCACTGCAGCACGCGGGCGGAGGGCCGGTGGTAGAGGGCCAACTGCCTGGAGCTGTAGCCACACATCCCAATCCCCAGGGCCCCCAGCAGCATAGCCATGCCCGGCATGCTCCTCACGACTGGGGGCGTCACAGACACATTGTGGTAGGCCTGGGTCTGAAAGGAGAGGATGAAGAGTGATCAGAGGAATGTTTGATTTCCTAAGTATTATGCGGGTATGAAAGATCAGAGCAGTCTGGAAATACCACACCTTCCTGGCAAACAACAACCGAAGAGCTGTGATTTGCTAATGTGCTAAATATATGCATGGGTGCAGATCAATTTCAGGCCCCTTCGGCACAGTAGGAGATTGTGCCCTGCAGCCACCCCACCCCGCTTCAAGACATTTGTCCGCATCATCTGACTGAGCTACAATATGTTCACCCCCCCCCCCCCCCGCCCACCCCCCCCCCCCCCCCCCCCACCAACACTCCACCCCCCCCCCCCCCCCCCCCCCCCCCAGACCCACAGAGATTAAAAACTCATCTTCTCTCATTTACCAGATCGCAGTCTATCTCTTTTGACAAACAAAAGGCTCGTCTATTTTGCGATACGGCCAATTTCCTCAGTGGGCCCTTGACAATTATAAAGCGCACAGAGGAGCAAATAATAGAAACCTCGTAGTTTCAAATGGAGCCGTGTCACAGACAGTTAGGAAGCCATTCCCGTAGCTCACTCACCCGGTTCCCATTTCCATTTACAATGCAATGGACCATCACAGGCTTGCATTTCTCCATTGTTTGCGATAAACACCACCAAAAAGGTGATTGTGTTTTGTGAGCTAAAACAAAAGGCATACTGGAACAGAAGCCTGGAACGAACGCGTAGCTGAGGACGGTGTGTGTATATGATATGATATGTGATAGTACTGTACTTCATCATCTTCTCACAACAATCTGTTGAGACACTCGACTGAGTAAATCGCTGCGTAATGGCAGCACGAGGCTTAGCGAAACCAACGTGCGGTGTGCAGTGTCTCCGTCAATAAACTTCTGTACGAGCCCATAAAACCAGCACCTTGCAAACACTTCATTACATCAATGGCTGCTCTCAGAATTGTCAAAGTTACTTCATCTGCCATTTCCTTCTAGTCCTTAAGGGCCAGTAGAGACGGAGAATGCCAGGCAGCATATACTCTAGACTTCAAATCCCAGACATTGAGAGGGCTTTGTGCCTTTTTTGTTTTGAAGGTCTTAAACCACAACAAGTTGCTTGATGCAGAAAAATTGCAATAAAGTGCAATCCACTTCTGCTTATAAGATCATTGGCAAGCAATGTCCAATGACTCAGTGCTTTATGTTCCTGCTATCCGGCACTAAGGACAGCTTTAGTGTCACTACGCATCTTAAGAGTGAAAATCACAGCACATCAAAATATTCTTTTGTTGACACAGTATCTACTTGACCCTAAATCTTGTTCACCTTTACAACAAAGTATCATTGAAAGATCCAAACTAGTGTCACTTTATTTTATGAATGAAACCGCTCACACTCACCTGCAGCAGCCGGATGTAGCCCGGAGTCAGTCTTGGGACTCTGAAAAACATTTCTGGGGCGTTCCGCAACGGTCCTCCTGGTAAATCAGTAATGATGAATTGAAGGCCAGATAAGCTCAAGCTCCTCTTCCTGGACGCCCAGGACGGGAAACCAAGCGACAGCGGGCCTGTCCGGGTCTGCGCTTGGACACTTCCAACCTGTACTCGGCTATCTGGTGCGGGACAACTGCCTGCCCAGCCCTTATAATGTGTCCTTCCTGTCCTACCACAACAGGCTATCCACAGGTGGTGTGTCTAATAGGATTACAGGAGCTGGCACACAGGGACAAAGAAGTCCGTCCAAGCAGAAGGGAGGTTGAATGGAGCGTAGGGCTGGGTGACACTTTGACATCACAGTATACTGACTTGTAGTGGAATCATATTGAAATCATAAGTGCTGTTGTTTTACAAATTTCTGTTGTGGAAACTAATGAATCATTAGATTTTTTATATTTGGTTTATAATGTATGTAGAGTTTTGTCTAATGCATATATTTACCACATTGAGGTGAATATCAATACATATTCTTATTAATAGCTTATTATAACAGCTCAAGCATCCAGTCATAATGGAGCATATTCATCTATGTATATGGTGAACGTGTGTGGAGAATGAGTGGGGTGTTGATGTACACAATTTGGAGATAATAGGAGGATTTTGATGATTTTTTTCTTTCTGAAGGGTTTGACATCAACACAAAGTGAAAGGGATGAATGAGGTCTTAACTCATACAGGTAGCATCACGTTTAACTGATTTCTGACTTCAGCAGTTCCTTTAATAGCTTCATACAGAGGGCCCAGCCCCAAGTCATTTGAAATCGGAGCCACTGGAATCCATTCGAATCTGCCAAGCGGTTTGATTTGGATGTTTTTCTGTTGATGAGAATGGCTTCTCCTGCCATGTCAGCAGATTTCTTTAAGCTTAAATATCCTTCGTAGCCTCGGGCTCCTGGACTGAGGTCCTATAATGAGGTAGCTGTGCTGATAAGGTCTCTCTCTCCCTCTCGCTGGAAGAGAGGAATTCTCTCCAGTGAGAGCAGCCAGCAATGACCTTCTTCTCATCTCTGGTAATAGGACCAAACTCTGCCTCCCAGCTCATGCATCCATGAATACTGTCAAACTCTGGCAATAATGCCGCAAAGTCATGATGCCACTGAAACTTGTGATGCCTGCTGGGTTTTATGCAGAAAAAGGAAAGCATAAAGGCCTTTAAAGTAAAAACTAAGAACCACTAATGACCTCAATGCCTCTGTAGGTTCATCACTAGCGAACCTTCTCATCGTCACATTGTCATTTGATATCTCGCAATTATAAAAATATTGATTACAGCCGCTCTGACCAGAGTTGCTCATCCTGTGGGGGGGGGGGGGGGACACGAGTGTCTGTGCCAAGTTTTGTGCCTATCCATCCAGTAGAAGTTGAGATGTTTTACTGAATATTTTGGTGGTGCTCGAGGCAATGCCAGGCAAGTCATAAAGATTCATGCTCTGTGAATATCTTCACCAAGTTTAAATGGCAATCCATCCAATAGTTAGTATATTTCAGTCTGGATCAAAGTGGTGATGTGAACAGACAGACAGACCGACATCCTTAGAGCCACGTCGCTTACATTGCTAAGAAAAGTCAATTAAAACCACCGATGAGCGCCTTTATATCCATGTTATGTAACATGTTAGGCAACGTGCTCTTTGCCCTTATTGTCTCCTCCGGCTAACGTCTGCACAATAGGCCCCTGAGCTTCCACCAGACAGCACCTGGTGCGTCTGTCCATGAGCAGAGGCCACAGATGGTCCTCATGCTAATTGTTCATCACTATAATTCTACACACACACACACACACACACAGAGCTGCGTGTTAGTGTACTGGTGCGTCCTAGTTCTGGAAAGACGACGCTCGCTCAGGTCATCATCACTAACTCTCTGACCTTTTCCTGATCTCATCCCTTGGCACTGAGTCACGGGCAAATGTATTCGAATAGATTACCTGGGAAGTAGACGCGTAGCGTGGAAGGTTAAGCTACCGACTCCCCGGGTGGTACTTGTTCCCAAGGTCCATCAACAACAATCCAGGCTGCTATATTGAGTGTACAGTTAGATAAGGGCGGCAACAACAACAAGTGTGTGTGGGGATCCTAATATTGGTATCCCTAATGATCCCTAAGTATAACCAGTGTTGCATCTCTTAAGACCATTACTTAACCCAGTGCAGTAAGGTGAAACAGCATACTTGAAAAAAGGCATGTGTAATAGTAACTTGGTGAGAGATTGATTGGTGGTGCGTGTACTGTAGATAATGGAGGAGCTATTAGGTGAACTGCCCGGGTTTAAATGTCAGAGCATCTGCAAAATAAATACCGGCGCTCCGGTAGAGCTTACATTTGCTTCTCTGGCAATTAGAATGTTCGTTAAAGAGGACGGTTGTTATGTTAATACCGGTTAAATGTTGGAAACATGGAGGTAAGTAACAGCTTGGTTCGATAACGACAACTTCAAGCTCACTTGTGGTGCGCAGAACGATTTGCCAAGCTCAGTGTTAACCGCTTTTGTTCTTGTACAATATGAGACGTGCAAATGGATCAGACAAGGGCACAGATCAAATGGAAAAAATAATTTAATAACACAAACATTTCATGCAGCATCATGTAAAGGTCCAACATTATAGAAGTGCAGTATATAAAAAGTACAACATTTCAATACGTGATGGAGCGCAATGGAAGTAATCATTCGGTGGCATCTCCGTGTCGGTGAGTCACCGTCTCATGGGTGCATCGTACAAAGCCCTGTCTTCTTGTCTCCCTGCATGGGAAGAATGTCTGTGATCCAGTATTGGAACAGTGAAGCAACTGCAGCGGTTTCTTCTAAAACGCAAAGAGACAAAGAGCAACATTTCAGCTAGAGCTGACAACACAATACCAGAGGAACAGTCAGTGTTTTCACCAAAGAGTTTATTTTTTTTTAACCGTAATACCTCAAAATCCCCAGCCAGCGTACAAAAGTACTTCTAACCTCTTTGCACGTCGACATTCATCCTAACGCTGTCTGTCTCCCACCCGAGACGGATTATCTATTTGACTTATTCTGGAACACGCAGAGTTAAATTCAGTGAATCTTTTCATAACCCGAAATGGACGCTATAAAAGGGGGACCGGTCAAGCCAATGTCATTTACGAGATGAACTCCAGGGTGCAGTAAAATATGCTCAAAAGAAAATCTGCAGTCAATCGATTGCCGCAAGAAGGGCAGACGGGGGAGCGGAGCTTCAGTGAAGAACTTTTTTAAAAAGGCACACCTCTCCACAAGCTCATGGGTTACATTAAAATACAGACCGCTGCCTTTTATGTGATTTTAGGTGGATGTTGGCTCAAACATATCAAATAATTTAAAATTGTCACACTGCGGCAAAGCATCGGTGTGAAGTCAAATCATAGCAAGAATGCCAGTGGCCTTCAACTAAAATGATAAACATAGCAACGGTGAGTTAAAGGGAAACTTTTCACAAAGTTTCGTTCACAATGAAGCATTTACAAGCAGCGAATGGAAGCATGACTCATACAATGTGAGGCGGGGGGGTTTGAAAAGCTTTCAGGCAGCCGTGGAGCAGGTGCATGGAGAGGATAGGCACAACTAAGGCAGGCTATATTGCGGGCTTTTTTTTTAACACGGTGTTGTCTTGGCGACGGGCACAAGCGGAATCAAGCGGCACTTTGGGGCCACCGATAAGGCGCTGGCCTGAATCTCCTGACTGGTCTCTCTCTAGCTCCGCCTCTCCCTCTCCCGCTCACACATAAAAGACTTGTGTGTGCGTGACAGCAGCAAAGTCCCCGCTGATCCTATTATGCAGCCAGCTAGCCGACCATGCGAACGCACAGACACACATGCACGGGTGAAAAACGTGCCCCGGGACCTCCATGAGCAAAAGGCAAGACGAAGCATGTTCGTTCTCACAGGACCTGCTGTAGTATCGCAAATAAAAAGGCGGAGGAAGGCAAGTAAGGGCAGGTGTACTCATGGCGAACAATAAACAAGAATTCAAGGGCAAGCAGGAACAGACAGAGGCATGTGTTGACATGCAGGGACAGGCCAGTGAGGTACCTGGGGCAGTGTGGACAGGGATGAACATGAAACAAGCATCACTTTCATGTCGCGTAGCCTTTCCTTAAATAATCCCTCATTCCATTTCTATGATGGACGTTTGGCCCGATCGATGCATCACTGACCTGCAGTCATAGGAGAAGTGTTGAGGAGCTCCCCCAGTGCCTTTTCCAGTTCGTCCGCCTGTTGCTGCCGAACGAAGGCCTTGAGGCCGCGGAGCCGCTTCAGGACAGAGGGGGGCCGGCATCCGCTGGCTATGTCCCTCAGGAGGTTATTCACAGTCTCGGACAGGAGGGGGTGCTCGCCTGCACGCAAAGAGGCTGCAGAAGCACGGGAGCAGGGAGAGGTGGTCTGTTAATTAAGGCCAATCGACATCATGATTTAGTATTTTCTGTAACATCAGAGGAGAACATACAGCAACAGATGTTTAAAGCGTTGTTGTGACTGTGTGGACTCTGTGTCATCACAGTAGAACATGACTAGTGTATGTTTTGATTTACAAAGCAATACTGGCGAATCTCAAACCTGTGCAGTCAAGCCTTTTGTTATTAGTCTCACTAATTTACTTGGCTGCTCTGCTTGGTACCGAGGTCAACACTGGTCATGGCCTGATCTTCAGATCACCCACTGGTTGGCTGGATTATATATAGTCAGTCTGACGCAAATAGTCCTTATATTAAACATGATTTCATTTGTTACTTTTATAATATCTGAAGCTTTGTAAAATTCGTAATAGTGAGCCTATCTTGGCTTTGGTTTCATTTGAAATAAATGTTCAATAAATCAAAGCTGTTCACTATTTACTGATCGGCACTCAGACAGAATGCTCACACACCATCTCCATCTAGTTCATTCTTATGGAACAGCAATTTGAGCTTTCACCCTTACATCCAATTACTGGTGCTATGTTTTTGACATCTCTTCTGAAGAGTAATTGAATTCTGTTCAACAGTTTTCATTGACACGTTTTCAGCATTTGTCAAGAGTTTAATTATGTGTTCATGAACTACATCTTAGAAAGCCATCAGCTGTGTTCATCATAGCACCCAAAATAAATTAAAGATAAGTCAACAAAAGCTGTAGCAATGGCTACCAGATTTTGCACAGACAATACACGAGCCTCGCTCGGATCAATACTTACAATCTGACATATAGATTTGCATTGTTGTCCAGAGGAAGTCTGACACCTCAGCAGCTCTCCTCTCGTTATCATCCTCCTCCTCCTCCTCCTCCTCCTCCTCCCCATCTTTCCGGTATGTGAACTCCAGTGCAGTGGCCCGGGGCATCAGACCCATGGCCAGCAGCTTCTCTTTGTGCCGTTTCTTCTTCAGCTTCCTCTTCTTGTTCCTGCTTAGGCGCTCTCCTCCCTCGTCCGCGGGCGCCGGACTCTGACCCGTGCGGCACTCACTCACTAGAGCTGCTCCATCCTTCCCAGAGTCTTGGTGGAGGGCTGGTTTCCTTCTCCTTCTCTTCCTTTTTCTTCTCTGTTCTTCTCCCTCTTTATCTTGTTCTGCATTGCTATCATGGACACTCTCCTCTGTGGGCAACAGGATCCAAAAAAAAACCTCGTGATTAGTTTAGAAACATTGTTAAATTGAACTGTTGCATTGCAGCCTCCATATGCACCTCTGCTGTTGAGCTAAATCATTGTGTTCATAGCTGATCCCACTAATTAGATACTCCGTCTTTATAGCGGATTGCATTCTAATCAGCTGGTGTGCTGCTTACTGATTGAAAATAAAACCTGCTGAATCGTGACCTCATATGGAGCAAACTATGGACCAAAGGTGGTTAACAAAAGAACAATGGAATCAGTAAACTGTATGTGTGCTGTTAGTCGGTGCCTCGATTCAGTCTTTTTTAATTCTTTCTCTATGCACAATGGAATCTGCGTCTCCCATGCTGATTGTAACAATTCCTCCTATTTCGAATCCGGCATCCAGCACTCTGAGGAAAGACCAAATACAAATGGGGCAAACGGGGCAGGCTATGCATTAGCTTTTTTTCCATACACACGCAGACAAAAGTAGCACAACAATAAATGTTATCAGTGTTAAGGCTCCCTTCTGTTACGTCTTATTACTCGAACCTTAGATTCAATGACTCGAGCTGAACCGTGAGCCCACACAGAAACGGCGCTCTCGCTGGCGGAGCAGCTTCCCCTCCACCTCCTCCCCTCTGCTGAACGACTCAAAGAGGCATTAAGAGGTCAAAGAAACCAGCGCCTATAGAATTCTTAGTGACCCTCAGTGAGTAACGAACTGGCTCTCAGCCTGAGACGGTGGCAGTGCAGCAGCGAACAATACTGAAAAGCAAGTGGAATGGGGTAGAGAGACACTTTTTTCGAGTTAGTCTATCATGGATTTTGGATCAAACCGAAATGCACTTCTTAAATAGCCATATCTGTGATAATTGGTATCAAAGAATTGAGACAAACAGTAAAAACTAAGGAGTACACATCATGTCTTGTGATGATAACTTAAGAGACAGTGTTGTCCCTGGTTGGTAAACGAATACCCAGTGCAGCATACAGCAGGTAGAGCAACACGGAAATTGTTTGGATTGCAATTACCATCGAGGGTCATTTCCCACTAAATGTAAAACATGTTCAATTGAGGCGCCGTTAGGCAGACGAGTGCAATTAATCAAACTTGACCGTATTGTTTATTCTAGTGGTCACAGTGAGTGACGTTGAAGTAAAGCCAAAGCCTGTCGGGTAAATGGAGGTCTGCATTAAGGAAGATGATGAGCACAGAGACACGTGTAATGCGGCTGGGCTCTTATCACAGTCTGATCATTCCACCGGTTCATGACAAGAGAAAGTGCAGACGGACCGCAGACAAAATAAGCAGCCTTGAAAGGATGCATTCAACTGCAGCTTGGATAAATTGTACAAGTTTACTCTGACAAACAACACAGATTAAAGTGGAAATTAGCCAAGGGTAAAACACCGTCTGTGCTGCATTCAAGTTCTCCCCAGTTCAGAAACACAATAGATCATCGCCGCTTGTTTCCGTTAACTTGAGTGGCAGAGCCAACCGAGAAGAGTGACTTTAACACATGAGAGGGCCAGCCTGGAGAAGCCCCATGAAGTAAATCTCTCCTAGCTTCACGGTGCACTGCACAAGTCCATAAACGTAAGATTACGGTCGTCTTACCAGCTGTGTCCTCTGCACTATTTATGCTTTCTAACTGGGGGAGTGTGACGGATTTCTCCGAAGCGGTCTTGTAGTCAGCGGGAGGAGGTAGGACTGTGTACATCCGCCTGACCGGATTGTCCGCACTCTGTGTCGTCCCTGCATCTCCTGAGACAGACATGGCAAATAGAAGAAGGTAATAAAACCTCAATGCATATGGAAGAGCAGCGGGGTAGTATTCCGGCATGGCATGTATGATGTTAATGAGTGTATTTTGAGGGGAATAGATTTTTTTCTAGACATAGTACTTAGTACGTGTGTGAGATGCAAGTTGAACTGAAATGTGATCTCACCAATGGCAGTGTCCTGTAGAGAGGCTTTTCTTTTCACGTGGGTTGTTCTGGATAGAGCATCTACTATGCCTGGTGGGCTGGCTTCCTGCTCCAGTGTGGGGGCTGCAGGGTAAAGCTTCTGGAGTACTTTTGACTGAAATACTAAGTGACATAAGAAAAAAAGGACACACAACAGAGACACCAACACCTGTTAATCTGATACATTGTACTATGTATCATCTTAAACCTCAAGCCAAAGGCAGTTCAGCCAGTTCGAGCACGTGCATTTGTTTACAACATGGCTAACTTTAGCTTCGTTAGCTAACTGGTTACAGATTCATTTTTTTTTTACAAGAGATTAATAATGTTGTCGACGACGCAGGTGATGCTCACCTTCTTTCCTACGTGCCATATTGACACATCTGTGTCTGCGTGGAGGCGAAGAGGACGGAAACGTAATGCAACATGTGTCTGTAGCTAATGAGCTAGCAAGCTAGCTAGCTGAGTTGGCTAGCTATCCAGCCTGCTAGCTTTTAAAACGAGCTCGATTCATAACAGATTCACAACATCAGACACAGGTGAACTAATGTAGCTGCTCAACGGGTTGTGTTTAAATAGCTAAAGGAATGGCTGGTGTTAACTATACTTTAAAGAAGCATGTCGGCTACGATTGCTGAAGTGCGATAATGCTCCGACTCCACCAGCTGCATAAGACCAGCCCACAGACTGACTGCATGCAGGAGGACGTCAATTTCATGAAACCATAGTTGTCAGGAAAGACACGTACTCTGTATATTATACAGGAATGTATACTTTTAATCAGCTGAATCCATTCTTCAAATCGGCATACAAAGTAGCCTTGTCCATCTTTGGAACTGCTCGACCACTGTGTATTTGATGTAAAATACGGATAGCATAAGTATACAACTTACTGAGGCAAATAGCTTCAGATATTTGATGTGACTCCTAGTACTTTAAAAACAATGTTAAGTCACTTTTTCACGCGTATCTCGCTCCCAAAATAGTCATTCCCACGTTGTTTTTTTCTGAAGACAGTTTTGCCAACTTTCTGTCATCAGACTAGAGCTCCCCACGTGTTTGGATCCTGTAATAACAGCGGTTTTGGGGCGTGCGCACACCGAGCCAGCTGTAGGACGGAGAGGGAGCGAGATGAGAATACTAAGCAGGCACCTCGTGGCTCAGCATCAGCACCGGGCTGAGTTAGGATTTGCGCACCCTCCAAACTTGGCTTGGGACCTCAGCATGTGAACGGGCTTTGCAGGAGGAGGATCCACCTAGGATGTCAGCTCTGAAGAAGGTAAACCCCCCACCCCCCCACCCCTCTCTCTCTCCCTCTCTAATTAATCTCTGAGCAGTAACTCCTAAGATATATGATAAGTGCAGGATTTATACATTATTTTTATACATTATCTTACAGTAAAAAGAGAAGATGTGTGCAGTAGTGGAAAACGGGTGTGTTCAGGCAGTTTGGATGCAGGATTTTCTTAATTGGTAATCTGACTTTTGGACTGCTTTTTTGAAATGTAAGAATGTTCCATAATTCAACTGTATTAAGAACAAAAATGCTAATTTATTTAAATACGGCCAGCCATCACAAATAATCAAAATATGATTTGATTTCTGCATCACTCGGATGCAAGTGAATTTTGTTCTCCTCTGATTTGCCTCATGGATGTCATTCCTGCACTTACATTTGTCCCTGAGGAGGAGGCTTGGACGAGGAGCATTTCAAGCGGAAAAAAGCCCTCTTAGTACAAGGCTAACTTCTCAAATGCATGTTATGTCAGCTTTGACCTCCCCCAGACTCCTCCTTTTTGTGCACTGTCACGTAGTTCTGTATGTGCCATGCCGACTGTAGTCTCTGCGGGTGTGTGACTTTCATTGACTGCATCTGAGTCCAAACCCAGCACCGGCAACCCTGAATGAGAGAGAGGGGAGAGGAAAGGAAAGAGGGCATTGGATGAGCTGTAGGTTTTGTAAGAATCAAGGAACTACACCGACCTGTACAAGCATGTTACATAATACCTTGCCGTGAAAAAGGTGATATGAAGCATATGTACAATTCCTACAAGCCCACTGATATATACTGAGACTTGTGACTGGGCAGTTACTTAGGAATCAAGCCTCTTCTGTTGCGGGATTAGAAAAAGTTAACTGTTTCTGTAAAAGGCTTGTCATCATTTCTACAATGACACATCGTGTTGTTTAAGATTCAGTGCAGTTGCAGGTATCGATGTCTCAGCTCCAATAGATTTCCATCATAGAGCGACACAAAAAGAAGGGAAGTTGTGTAGAACGCCCGCTTCAGCACTGCCGCCGAAATCCGCTGCAATGCACAGTGTACTCGGCACACACTGTGAGGGACAAAGTGCTGGCTGCCAGCACTCACATAGTCAGACATCATAATCACAGAGGTGCTAAAAATAGGAGACCATATTCATTGCAATGCTTTAGTTGTACTAAGATGCTCCTGGATGTTGTGCTCCTACCCTGCTTAATAATACAAAATGTCTTTATTTTTAGACAGGAGTGGTAGACCTGCCTTTTCTCAATGACACGCATGCTGCTTGGGTGAAACTTTGATGATGGACTTTTTCACTCGCTGGTCTTCCGAAACTAAGGGAGGAGGGGCACACAAATATGGAAGCTGTGTTTTCTGCCATGGCAAGAAGCATGTTTTATTTCTGGTCCTAGAGAGACCTTCCATGTTCATTCATTATGCAGGTAGCAAGAAGTGCTACAGTGCAGTGGCAACAAGCAGTGCAGCAGCAAACGTAATTACTTTTAAGCAATAAGGAGGGTAATTGACAGTATCTTTGCCTGTGTATACATTGCACAATATGCATAGCTTTTGTATACCTAGAAACAGAAGGAGTGTGTGGGCGGACAGGTGAACGGTGAGAAAGACTTGTCGCCTGACTGAAAAATGACTGAAAAATAAATGACTTTCCAGCTTTAGGGAGGGGGCACCTTTCACCTCATCCACATCACTCCCTCTGCTTGAAACTAGAGATGCTCCGATACTGGTGTTGGATATCCCTCCGGAACTTATGCAAAAAGCTGGATGGGATATCAGGGACAATGGGCTGATCTGGTATTGGATACTATTATTTACAAAAAACTATTCATTTATAACCATGTATTTGTGTTTTATTTTGTTTTAGAAAGCGGTGTTTAAGTTGAGCCGGATGTTCCCTGACACATAAAAGAATGATTCCAGTCACTTCCACACAGTGAGGCATACAGTTCATGAATTAAAGGAGGGTATTGGATCGGCACTCGGTGAGTCCAGGTATCGGGACTGAAGGAGTCGGATCGGTGCATCCCTACTTTAAACCAGTCTTTCAATGAAAGCGGGATGATTCATACGAGATGGAGGAATCTTACCTCATCCTACGAGGCAATTTATTTACTTAAAAAGAAGAGAGCCTCATTAAAAGCTACCAAAGAAGAAAGGACACAAAAAAAAAAAAAACTAATTGGAAACTGACACCATTTCCCCCCAGAAGCTGTTTGTAATTGAAAGTAGCTCGTTTCAGGATATTTCCAAAGCGGCTGTCAAATTGCCTGCACGCACACACGCATGCATGCTTACACAAACAGACTCTCACAGAGTTGTCAATGGGAAGCTTGTATGGACTTTGCCTACTTGGCAGTGACACGATAAGGCTCTCATAATCTGTTTGAAGATGCAGGGAAAACTCCATTATGCGTGTGGGTGATGTCATTTTAGGGGGAGAGGAGCAGCAGTGAATGTAGACAAGCCTGACTAAAAGTAAACGCTCAAACGTTCTGCAGGCGCCTTTCTAATTCATCCACTCATCGGGACCGATGTGTTTCTGCTCTCTCACTTTAATGCTTTCCGTTACCGGCACATGCATCTGATTCTCCTTCTGTCTTTCTTTCCATCCGTCTCTCTTTTGTGTCTCTATTCATTCCCTGATGGATGCCAGTGTTACTGCTAACTGCAATAGCTGCCACACAGCCGCAAGTCCGATGTGACTCATTACAAGGTCCGTTAGCAAGCTGCTTGACTATCTGTAACCTTTCCTCTTGTATTGTAATTGCACAGTCATAAATACAGACAGTTTGATCCCCTAGTTGGTAAAATCATCATTTATGAGGACATAACAGCAGCTGCCTTTCAAAGAGGACGTGTGTCCCGTCAGGTGTATGCCTTTTGAAACTCTTAGACCGGAAGCGAAGCTAAATCATACCATGGTCTAAAAGAATTTACAAATGTGTCCCTGAAGGCCCTACTGTGTTAGCACTGTCAAAACGGGAAATGTAATACTAATGCAAGTGAAAGACCCCGCACAAGTCCCAAGTGTGCTTGAGCTCTGCCTTGTAGAGTATAATAAGTCTTAATACCATTATCGTTGGCAAAAGGCCCAGATCTTTTACAACCGAGTCTTGACTAGATCCTTTTAACCGAAGCGATGAACTTGAATATATTAGCTCAATGAAATAGCCCGCTCTAGCGAAGGACATCGAGGCAGCAGCTTCTTTTTGGATCGGGACAGGTCGAAGAGATTTGATTCATCTCCAGATGTTGAATCAGTGCTTTAATAGCCCCAATGTGGTCAAGCTGTTTAACATAAACGAGAATGTTCCTGCTAGTTCAACCTTGTTGCTGCTGTTCAGCGACTAAATACTCGGCATCAAATGATTCTTCAGTAAAAGTCAGAAATCTGTGGCCATGGATGTATGTTGCTGTTACTAAATGGGTTTCACCTCCGGAGAGCTGACCATGGGCCATTTGTTTCATGTATGGCCCCTCCAACTTTTGGCGAATGCACTAATTTGCATTATTATATGGCTCTCATGCAGATGATGCCTGAATGCTTCACATTTTCCCCATATGATTGCCTACCCTTGTCTTGGGTACTGCATGTTCTAAATAGGCAAAGTAAAGTAAAGGTAAACTGGAAACCATGCGTAGTAAAGTGGTAGGCCTGTCTCTCAGACTGAGATTGCCGTAAAGTTTATATTTATATGAATTCTTTATATTTGTAGGAATGCTGGCTGCTATGTATTTCAGACATTTGAGACACATTTGCACACACAACTTTGTGATACTTGCAGGGATTTGCTACTGAGTTTTTTGGAGGGAATTTTTGAAGCCCCAGCATGTGGTTTTGTACTATTGCATCGAAAAGGTGCCTCTAATATTTCTGCGTGTCGTATCTCTTCCGCCATCGCTGGGTTGAGTGGTTACAGTGTGCAAACCTTATCTCCGTATCGACACCACTGCATTTGATAACTGGCCCGGGTAAGAAGGGAGCAGACAGCGCTTAAGGCAAACAGCAAGATCTTTGAGCTGCACACTGGAGTGACTCCGCTTCCCCTCCGTCCTCTCTGATCTCCATTAGCTCACCAAGACTTGCACTCCAGCTCTCAGCAGCGGGCGCCAAGGTATCCTATTATACACTGGCACTTGTGATAATTGCCTGTACCCAGCAGTAATGGTGTTGGGAGATATAGGTAGTGAGCCTGTATGTCTGCGTGCGCGTGCCTGTGTGTGTTTATGTGGCCGGTATGTAGACAGCTGTTTGCTTTGTGAGCATCCTGAAACACCGGCTGGACAAGAGGGGTTCCTGTTGGCCGCTCTCTGCGCTGGTCAAACTAGGCTTCAGATCTTGTGCAGAGCCATTAAATAAACCGGGTGCATTGGAGCTTGACTTGCTTTGAGGGATTTACACCGACGTCTAGTACAACTAGGTGGACAGGGTTCTCATCCCGGTCACCACTGGGGGGGGGGGGGGGGGAAGTCAGAAATTCGACAACAAGAAGACGACTAATTCTTCTTA